CCCGAAGTTCGGATCGATGCATGAGAAGACAGATCCCGAGGCGACTCCTTGTTTCATGCAACACTTCAGACTGCTACGCGGACTTGAACAGAACTCGCGATGTTTGAACGACTAACAGACCATCTGCATTAACGTTGTCGGTCGTTGTAACTGCCCGCTCGATCCACACTCCTAATATCGCTAACCAAGGGGAAGAAGGAAAGATAAGGAGATAAACCAAGGAGACGCTGATCGCGAAGTGACTTTTCGCGACTTGTTTCAAGGCAGCAGCAACAGTCTGCCTGATTGTGGTGGTGTGAGGAGAAAGGAGGCAAAAGAGCGTTTTTGCGCGGGATCTGTTTTTGATCCGCACATACGAACGGATGCTGCGGCTTGAACGCTGCATTGTTGTTTGAACTTGCTTTTTTATCTTCCTGGTAAGAAAGGCCAATGCGCTGAGGTCTCGCAACTACCGGGTTGAAGGTTTCTACTGCATAATAATAATCCGTACAGTGGATGAGAAGATATTAAACCATGATTGCCAGACTAAACCCAAAGATACAAGCATCGTCTCTCTAGCTTACAGATGAACAATACATCTAGACACATCGAGGAGAGTCGGATCGACTGCCCGCTGAATGGGTCTTGCCGATACACTCGACTCGAAAGCCCAGGGTCTCCAGGCCAGACGGGTCGATGATGTTGCGGCCGTCAAAAACAAACATCGGACGGCGCATGAGCGTTGCGACGCGGCTCCAATCAAGCTTCCATAGCGCCGACCCGTTCGTCCCCGGCATGTCTGCGGGTTCGTTCACCGAAACATCCGTGCCAACCTGCCGAAGCTCAGGGCGGTCTGTTTCCGGGGTTTGCAGCATGAGTGCTAGTTTGTGCACGCGGCTGAAGCCGCTCTCCTGCAGTGCGCTGCGAATCTCCGGCGGGGATACATGCGTCGTTGCTTTTTTGTTGCTGAACTCGTCACATTCAGTGAGAATCGCGATGGCATGAGCGCCGACGCAGGCATCGTAAACGTCGTGGCATACCTTGACCTTTTCTCGAAGAAGCGGGTCCCGATTGTTTTGCTCGAGAACCTCCCACATGTTTTCTTCCTTTACCAGGGGATCGTACACTCGGATGATGGCGCCTTCAGCAAGAAGGTGGTTGATGACGGTGATGGCAGCTGTTTCTCGAGTGTCTCCAGTGTTCTTCTTGTATGCAAATCCCAGGATGGCAATCTTTTTGTATGTCAAAGTGTTGTAGAGGCAACGCACGATACGCTTGCTGAACCTCTCTTTCTGGTACTCGTTGATGTCAACCACCGACTTCCAGTAGGCAGCCACCTCCGGTAGATGGAGTGATTCAGCGATGTAGGTAAGACTCAAGACATCTTTCTTGAAGCACGAACCGCCAAACCCGACAGAAGCCTTGAGCATCTTCGGCCCGATGCGTTCGTCCAAGCCACATGTATACGCAACCTCTTCGATGTCTGCACCCGTGGCCTCGCAGACGGCGCTGAGAGCATTGATGCTGCTGATGCGCTGTGCCAACAAGGCATTAGCGGCAAGCTTGGTAAGTTCCGAGGACCACAAGTTCGTCGTGATAATTCGACCCTTCGGGACCCAGGCCCCGTAGATTGCTGCAAGCGCAGCGGCGGCCCGATATCCGTTTCCGGTGGAGAGCGAACCAATCAAGATTCGGCCCGGATCGAGCAAGTCGCCGATGGCGGTGCCTTCGGCGAGGAACTCCGGGTTGGACAAGATTTCAAACTCGACGCCAGGCCTACCGATGGCGGACAGAATTTCTCGGATGTTCTCTGCCGTCCGGCAAGGTACGGTGCTCTTCTCAACAATTATCTTGTCACTTGTCGCCACTTCAGCAATGTTGCGCACCGCAGCCTCAAAGTAGCCCAATTCGGAGGCCCGGCCGGCCCCAGCTCCGGTTGTTTTGGTGGGTGTGTTGACGCTGATGAAGATGAGGTCTGCCTCTGCAATTGCGGCGTCAACATTTGTAGAGAAGAAAAGGTTCGGACGACGTTGGCCGACGCCATCGCGAGCTAACTTGACAATGTCAGGCAGTCCGGGCTCGTAGATGGGAAGATTGTCCGAATTCCACGCATTGATCCGGGTAGTGTTCAAGTCCACAACAGTGACATCGACATCGGGGTTCTTGTTTGCAATGACCGCGCAAGTCGGTCCTCCCTATAACAGTGAGCATAAAGTATAACGAAGAAGTCAGAATCTACTTACAACATATCCTGCCCCGATGCAGCAGATTTTCTTGACCCTGTTAGAGGCCGTCCAACTTTGATCAAGAATCTCGTCAGCGGTAAGACCAGGCATTGTGATGGTAGTTGGTAGTAAAAGTCGTATAGACGCAGACTGAGTCAAATAGCCAAGGCTTCTCAAAAGGACAGATAGTCCCTTGACGCATAAATGAGCATGTCAGGTCTGAAGGTGAAGTAAGGCTCTCCCCAAATCTCAGTACTGTGGCAGATGACTTCCAGATACGTGGTGCCCTCAGCCCTTGCCATTCTAAGCGAGGGACGCACCCTTGGTATCTTGGCCCTTCGTTTTCTCCGATTGATCATCTCCCCGAATAGGTGTTCAAGGAGAAACCTCTGGGTCGGACAGAGGGGGTTGTAGGATTGTGGGGTGTCCTGGTGGGTGGAGGGGTGTCGTCAAAAGGAGGGGTAGATACCGAGTTGCCAACCACATCAACCAGATTCTTGTATAACCACCGAAAGACATCTCTGTTCTGTGTAAATAGGGTTCATCAGGGTAGAAAACCACTCACTTGGAACTAGTACGAGTTTTAGTGCAGTCATATTCGCAGTGACTCAACTCACACTACTCAAAAGGGGTCCTAAATGAACAAGGTTTACCGTTTCCATTGGCAGGAGATAGGTCCGCCCCTTGATAATGCGGGCTTAGTACTGCCACGGAGTCGCGGATCGCGCACGCGTCGTACCGAGAGCGCGGGAAAACGGGTAACGAATCCAGGGCGGTACCACAAGATTTGTGCCAAGGCTCCCTGTGGCATTGTCGTGACAGCTGACTGCCATCCAGCCGCGTCTCTCGGCACGGCTGAGATTTCTTGGACTGATAATGCGAGACAGGTAGCTTATTCTTAGGTTTTTGCGATCCAATTTTGCCCCCGCCTGGCGTGTCGTTCCTTGATCGTGACATTCTCTTTCTCATCAATCAGTATGGACACCGATGATTCCAAGATTGAAGAGAAGCCTTTTGGCTCACCCGAGTGCATCGGCATCCTATATGAGAGTGAAGATGCCGAGTCGGAGATGTCCACGGAGAAAGACCTTGACTTGGACGACTGTATGGTTCCGTTCAACCCAGCAAGATACAGAGACCTAACTGGAGCAGTAGCTTCGGTGGACGAAACACCAATCGCCACAGAGTATACCATACCTACAAAGACGAAATTGCTGCACCTCGGGCTGTACTTCCTCTTGAATCTAAGCCTGACGCTCTACAACAAGGCTGTTCTCCAGAAAGTGAGCAGAAACGATCACAAGTTGGCCCTGTACTTACATTCTTAGTTCACATATCCATGGACTTTGACGGCAATCCACGCTGGTTCGGCATCTTTGGGATGTTACATTCTCCTGCTGCGAGACCATTTCCAACTGGCTCACCTGTCGAGACATGAGAAGTTCTTGTTGGGGGCCTTCTCTCTACTCTTCACTATTAATATTGCCATGTCCAACGTCTCCTTGTAAGCTTCAAACCTTCCGCACAGTTCAAAACTTACCAGTTCCTAGGGCATTGGTATCTGTACCATTCCACCAGATCATGCGGTCGACATGCCCGGTTTTCACAATATTGATCTACCGCATCTTCTATGCCCGTACATACTCTCAGGGCACATATCTGTCACTCATTCCGCTGATACTGGGCGTCGGGGTGGCCACTTTCGGCGACTACTATTTTTCCACGCTCGGGTTTATCCTCACGCTCGCCGGGGTTTTGCTCGCCACAATCAAGGTGAGCTAATTTGAAGGACTCGCCGTTCTGAAGACTGACAACATCGCAGACCGTCGTGTCCAATAGACTTATGACGGGCTCGCTGGCTCTGCATCCGCTCGAAATCCTGCTTCGCATGTCACCGCTGGCAGCGCTGCAGTCGATTATTTACGCGTACTTTGCCGGCGAACTGGGCGCACTCTCCGAGAACATCAGCACATTCACTGCGCTAGATGTGCTTCTAATCGCCGGGAACGGATTCATTGCGTTTGCATTGAACGTGTCCTCGTTCAATGCAAACAAGTTGGCCGGCGCATTGACCATGACTGTCTGCGCCAATGTCAAACAGTGTCTGACAATCCTCCTCGGAATCGTCATCTTCAATGTTAAGGTTGGGATTGTGAATGGCATTGGTATTGTAATTGCTTTGGCTGGCGCGGCATTTTATAGCAGGGTGGAGTTGAGTACGAAGATGGCGAAGCAGCAGAGGAGCCAAACGGGTGGTGATGAGGAAGAGCGGGTTCCCATGATCCAGCAACGGTAGTCTGCACAACTGGTACGCAGAGGCAGGCTCTCGTAGATCGTAGGAAGCCGAGGAAGCCTTAAGGCACAAATTGCATAATCTGACTTTGTACTTTTGGATACATGCCGATGAAACATGGGAATAGTGGCTTTGTTGATGATTGACGTTTTACCGTTCGGACTTGTATTCCGGTGATATACGTGGGAGCTTTTGCTTTTGGTCGAACAGTATCTGGCTCGATGGGCTGGTAAGACACGCGTACAGGCTTGAACGTGGCGGTGCCTAATCTGGCAAGGCGTGACACAACAGGAGAGGCGAAAGGGATCGTTTCCTTGCTGTAAGCTTTGGTCGTCACATTTGCCAAGAATAAGCCTTGCTTCCTCCACCATTGCAGCGCGACCAGCCATCCTCGTGTTCGACCTGTTCGCTCGAAAATGTGAGCTAAATAAGTGTACTGATCTTCAGCCTTCGTCGTCCGAAGTAGACGTTCAATGAACGATGATTAGGTTCGCCAGATTGTTCACACCTAGAGGTGTCTTGTTGCTTCTGTTCGTCATCGTTCTCATTGGGGCTCTCGGTGTGAGCTTTCGCGATGATATTGTACATACCGAGATCAAGGTAGGTTACATCCCAGTTGACACTGCAGTCACTCATGTGTAGTTAGGGAATATCGCTCCGTGGCGATAATGGCGGCAACAGAACGGAAGCGAAGTCGCATTTCCATCTTCTCATCCCAGCAACTAGCAGCGGCTTGTACCTTTGTCGCCTGCTATTATCGGCAGCAATTCTGAACTACCCGACTCCTGTCTTGATAAACTGGGAAGGGAAAGGTGAATTCGACGCCAGCATATCGCATCTGGCCAAAGTCAGAGGACTGGCGAAGCATCTGGATTCCTTCCCGCCAGAAAGAGATCAAGATCTCGTCCTCATCATCGACGGCTTCGACGTCTGGCTGCAGCTACGACCGGAGGTCATGATCCAGAGGTACTATGCCACAATCCACGAGCACAAGGAAAGACTGGAGGCAAGATTTGGACGAGAAGCTATCGAAAAACACAATTTCAAAGACACCCTCATCTTCGGATCGGACAAGACCTGCTGGCCTCCAGACTGGTGGCGCCCCGCATGCTGGGCGGTTCCCGAATCGACAATACCGCTCAACGCCTTAGGCCCCAAGACGGACGTCGCAATTGATGGCCACACCTTCATGCACGTACGTCCTCGCTGGCTCAACTCAGGCACCGTCATTGGGCCTGTAAAGGATATGCGGCGGATGATGAACGCGACCTTGGACTTTATCTCCAAAACGTACAAAGAAGACCATGGGGCCAAGAACTCGGACCAGATGTACATGGCAGACTTGTGGGGCATACAAGAATATGCGCGCTCCTTGAAGGATCTCGACGATTCTGCCTTGAGCAGGGGACCGCTTGATAGAAGGATACCCGAGCTGCCCGCTGGACAGGAAACAGAGTATCACATTTCCGTGGACTACGAGTCGAAAATGTTCCAGACAAACGCGGGTATGAAGGATTTCACCGCGTGGATGAAGCATGATCTCGACGACTGGTCTGCGCCTGGTGAGCAACAGGTAGCTTTCCAGCCATACAACGTGCGACTCCAAGCAGACGTTGCGAACTCCCGCGGACCATTTGCCGCCGGTAAGATGGGAAAAGCTGAAGATAACCGCCTTCCAGTCAACATGTCATGGAAGGACGTGCCACTTGGATTCAACAGCATCACTGACCAAATATTCCCGTTATTGCACATGACTGGAAATAAGGCATACATCGACCTCTGGTGGAACAGGCTATGGTTCCATCCTCATTCGGAAGAATTGCTCAAAGCCTCGAAAGCGATGCCAAAGGGGCCAGTGGTCAAGACAGAGGATGGACGGTCATGGTTGATGGCCGAAGAACCAGGGGCCAAGATGGCCCTAGAAAAGGCATCCAATGGTGAGGATGGTAAAGGCGGCGTGTGGAGTGATCAAGGGCAGTGGCTTGCGTGGAACAAGCTGTGCTCGGCGGTTGATCAGGACCAATTGTTTCTCAAAGAGGCTAGCGGTTAGTCTGCGAGGGATGTATAATTTGCGTGCCACGTTTCCATATGAATACCTTGCCTGAAGCAGTTTGATGTGCCGTGTCAACTTTCTGTCCTGTCCACGCTGCGGAGCCTTTCCCGGTCGTGGCCATTTTCTCCCCAGATAAATATGTGCCAACCTTGGCCGCTGTCCAGCAACCATGCTCTTTCCACGCAGTCTCAAAGATTTTTGGCTCTCTGTAACTCGTGACACCGGCAAAGGTCACTATAGTGCCCTCGATGATGAGGCGGGGTCTGCACCAGTCTTGCCTCCAAGGAGTCGCAACAGACATCTTTGGCTTTCCATAGGAGGAATTGTCGTGGTGTTGCTTGGATATTTGGTTCTTGGCCTTTCGCAGGGAGTAAGTTTAGCCACAGGTTGATTTGTCCGTGACAGCATTGACCATTACAGTCCCCGGCCGAAGTCCCCTCCATCGAAACCTCCGAGCCATCCACCAAATTCTTCCATCTCTTGATCCCAGCGAACCAGTCAGATGCCAACCTTTGCAGGACGATGCTCAGTGCTGCCGTATGCGGCTACTCGACCCCCACTCTCATCAATTGGGGCGTAGAGTTTAAAGACCCCAATCTCGACGCCGGTGGTTCGAAAGTGGGCAAGATAGTTGGCGTGTTGCAGTTTCTACGCTCGCTGGGCCGGGAGAACGACGATGACCTCGTCCTCCTCGTCGACCACAACATTATGTTCCAGCTCCGGCCAGACGTAATTCTCTCGCGCTACCGACGCATCAACGCCGAAGCCAACGCGCGAATCCGCAAGGAAATGGGCCGGGCAGCCGAGGAAGAAGACATAAAACAGACCATTGTCTTCTCAGCGCAGAAGCAGTGTCGACCATTGGAGGATGACGACCCGGCCTGCTACGCTGTCCCGCAGTCGACGCTGCCAGATGACATTTACGGCCCGGGAACAGACACCGATATCCACGATCCGAAGAACCCGTATCTCAAATATCGGCAACGCTTCCTCGGCAGCGGCAGCGCAATGGGTCCCGTCCGAGACTTGCGCCGCCTCTTCGAGCGCGCATTCAAGAAAATGCAGCAGCATCCCGACATTGGCAGCGACCAGACGATTTTCAGTCTAATTCTCGGAGAACAAGAATACCAGAGAGACGTCCTTCGCATCAAACACCTGTCGGCTTGGGAGCGGCTATGGGACTGGTTCGGACGCACCGCGCGGCCGACGGACCCGCACCCCACACACCACCGCATGGAGGTCGCCGCAGCAGGAACACCGTTCGAGTTCAGCCTCGGACTCGACTACGCCAGCTTGCTAGGCCACCCCACCGTCTTCGCTGAGGACGACACAGCCTGGTTGCGCTACAACTCGAGCGCGGACCTCAAGGCCGCGGCACAGAACCAGCAAATTGTGCGTCCGCAAGCCACCGCCCTGCCAGACGACGTGGCACGCTCGCCGCCGCCGTTCCGCATGGGCGTTGATCATGCCAATCTACCCTTCAACACCAGCTGGAGCGAGGTCCCGCTGTACAGCAATATGTGGACAGGCGTGGTCACGGGCATCGTGCATCACAATGCGCACCGAGACGGGCTGAAATCTCCGCGAGAGACAGGGTGGGACAAGTTGTGGCTGCAGCCGTATGCGAGGCGATTGCTGAGCGCGCGGATGCTGGAGCCGATTGGGCCTGTGGCTGCCGAGGGAAATGTCACCTGGTGGAGCATGTATCTGGAAAAGGGGGGAGCGATGACTGAGAAGCGCCAGTGGCTGACGTGGAATTCCTTGTGCGATGGTAAGGAGGACAAACTGTTCAGGGATGGTCAGGGCGATTGGGTTGATCCGAGGTAGTTGGTTACACAGCAATCAGACATATTCCTTGCATGCATGAGCAACGCTAAGGGGGTTTGAAATATTCCTGATATTGCCGCAAGGTCTTCGGACAATCGTGGATACTCGAAATTAAAACAGTGGTTTGAATCGTGGCTCATCGTCGTTAATCGGTCTCGAGTCGCTACTTGATCGGATTCGCATTTCGTTTTGCCTCTAGACATGTCGATGTTTCGGTGACTTAGGAATCCAAAACAACTCGACCAATTCCCATTGGTATCTGGTTACCAAATCCTCTTCGCAACCATGCTATACCTCTGCACGAGCCCCAAATCCTCTCCACCCTTCTTATCTTTCTCCTTTCCCTTTTGTTCCCTCTCCCGATTCATGCGGTACCCCTCAGGATCATCCGCATAAATCCATCTCTTCTTATCGTCCTCCACCTCCACAACACCCCATCCTCCCAATCGTTTCCCGTCCGTGGTCACAACCATCTTCTCCCGCTCCTTCATGCCGTGATACCTGCTCCGAGCAAACGAGAGCAGACACATGCCCAAAACCAATTTGAAAAGCAACAGTACAAAATACGCTGCCAGGAAAACGACCAGCATCGTCGCGAACGCAATCACGTCGTCGAGACTCCACCAGCTGAAGCCCCCCGTTGCGCCGTCCACGCCGACCACTCCTGCGCCGAAGCTCGAACGACCAAGCGCTCGCCGAAAGATGTGGTCGATGTGGGCTAGGGCGGCAGTGGTAGCGGGCGAAGACGTGGCGCTAGACTCGTCGACAGCGATGGCGGTGGCGGTCGACGGAATGGGCAGCGGCATGTGCGTGGCCAAGAACATATGATAGGTTTGGATAGTAGCGCGGATGAAGAGACAGGCGAGGGGGAGGACCGGTAGACCGAGGCGTTTGGTCAGGTTTTGATCGGCAAAGGCCTGACAATTAGATTGGAACGTAGAGTTGTATTGACAAGGACTTACATGTGAGTAATAATCCTTGGCCAGCACGTCCAAGAATCTCGAGTACAACGCCGGCTTCGTGTTGTTGAATTTGGTGATGTACGCATGCTTGAGCCAGTCGACAAGCATTTCACTGCCAAGAACCAGCAAGAAAGGCCCTAGAACCTGTCCTGTCCACTTGGGGAAAATCGTAAAACTTTTGGGGATGATGCTGGTACTCTTGAACGGTGCACTGGTGATATTACCAATGCTTCCACCGGAGCTGGAGCCGCCCACGTTGATAGTCAAGCCGCCAACCTCGACAATATTACGGAACGCAATGATCATGAGCATGAGCCAGAGCTGGAACCGCTCGACCATGTCGGCGCATGTCAATTGGAACAAATTTTCCTTTTCAAACTTTTTGAACACGGTGCCCTTGATCTCAACAAACTGGTTTGACATGAGCAGTGTTAAAAGGGCGTTGGAATACGAATTGACAGCCACATTGAGCGTGATGACCTGGTAGAAAAGCGCGGTGGCGTGGATGGAGTTGTACACAAGAGCCAGCAAGAACATCCAAAAAGGGCGGATGATTTTGCTACGGCCGTCGGCGTTGCGGTCCAGGGTCTCACGCGAAAGCAAACACTCGAGAATGTCTTGACCAAGAGCGGAGAAGAGACGATCGCACACCTCGAGGACGTTGTATATGACGTAAAGCTTGATCGCAGCCTGTCCTCTGATGTTGTGGTAAGTTTTGCTGGCATCGAACCTGCTCAGGATAATACAAGTCGAAAGTACCAACAGACCCTTGAGGATGTCCGCCTTGTGATTTGGCATCAACGTCGATGGAACCGACCTTAACCTGCGATGCCGGTAGATAGACTGCTTCGCAGGTCTCTTTGTTGGTTCCGTGAGGGGCGGGAAACGAATGGCATTTGCATCGAAGCCAGTCGCCGAGGAGGCAGAATGGGACGATGACGGCTTGCGAGTGTGCTCCTCGCCTGTTAGTGCGGGGGTAGACGGCGCCTTTCCCTGTCTCCTCTCCCACACTCTCCCCAATCCGCCGTAGATGAAGGTGACAATGTCGCGTGCCTCCTTGAACGCATTACGAGACCACCACTTGGCAAGGATCCAAACAGCCTTGAAGAAGCGCAGTGGAAGGATGGTAAAGGTGTAAAGCCAAGCGTCTAAACAGGCCAGAGCGCCGAACCATAAAGACTGCTCCAGCTCGAAGGGAAGTATTAAAAAATTAAGTAATCGCTCGAATTTGATCCGGGAAGACTCATAAGGGAAATCGCTGGTGGCAGAACGGTGGATGTACAGAGGAGAAGGCCGTTCTGAGGCAAGTTCCAGCTGCAGATACGTGGGGATTGACAATGGCGGAAGGGGTATTGAGGCTGGCATGGGCGAAGCCAGAGGCGTCTCCTGGATGGCGGAAGGCTTCAAGCCACCTGGAGTGCCGCTCGGCTTCGCTTCGTCAAAGTTCAGGGGCGCCGGTCTGAGAGAAATTCGCGGTTGAGTCGAGTCCATCGAAGGCGTTTGACCTCTACTGGAATGCTTGCGCCGGAGGACCGGAGGCGTAGAGACGGTCCTTGACGGCATCAACGGCCTGCTCGACTTGGCCGCGCTGGGCAGTGGCCTCGGGGCCGGCTCCGTCGCGCCATGCTGCTCCATCCTATGCGGTCGCGACACCTTGTCGGGGCTTCGATTCGTAGTCGCGTCGGTCTCGTTGTTGACCAGGACGGGCGACTCTGACAGCGAGGGAAGAGGGTCGGGCAACGGCGCGGCGGGACGGACAGGTAGGGAATTGGGCGACTCGGTCAGCTCCTGGATCCTGGCGGGCGACAACTTGAGCACCTCCTTCTTGTCACCGTCGGAGACGCCGCGGACTCGAGGAGAGGCTGGAGTGCCGGTGCTGCTCTTGCGCGGCTTATCGGACCTGAGCTGGCGGGAGTCGTTGGATTTGTCGGCCACGGGGCCATGTTTGGTGTCTTCTGGCGAGGCGGTCAAACCCAGGCCGATGAGAGCGTCGCCATGGTCCAGGGTCGGAGTGGCGGCGGGCGTGGGCAGCTGAGCGTTGGGCGACAGCGGAGGGAACTGCTCAGCCTGGCCGTCCGAGTTCATAGTAGCGGGTGGGCTTGGACATGGTTGTGCGGTGAAGCGCGGCGCGGCAGCTGGAGACGATCGCCGGACCCTGACGTCGCGTCTCTGACCTCTGCCTGCGATGCCCCTCACTTACGAATTACCTATCATCCTCTTCTCAAGGCTCCATCTCCATCCTTCCTACCCACCACCATCATGTCCGGCTATGAAGGTGCGTCTCCCATCACATCCTTCTCGCCACCCGCTAACCCCCGCAGACGAACACAACATCCCCAAGGACCAGCAGTCCGCGCCCCAAGAGCGACGCCGCCCCGACATGACGACCTTTTTCAGCGCCATTGACCGGCTAGACTACCACGACCCGGCGCATCCTGACCGGCACAGCGGTCGCGTCGCGCCGGAACCAGGCAACATCTCGGCGCTGTACAACTTGCTGGCCGACAGTCTGGCATTCATGGAGCGCGAGGGCCATACGGACGTCGCCAGTCAGATGCTCGCGGCTGCGCAGGAGTGGGCTGATAACCCGCCGCGCGAGGTCGATGGCGTGCCTGACAGCTTTCTGGATGGGCTGGAGCGCGTGCCGAAGAAGGAGCTGAAGAAGGACGATACGTGCCCGATTTGCGGAATGGCATTCTTGGACGGTAAGTGGGAGGCGTGTGTGCATTTTCTGATGATATTGGCTGACAATTGTTCCAGATCAATTCCCGCTCGTCGTTGAGCTGCCTTGCCACTCGTCGCATCGCTTCGATCTCGACTGCATACGGCCCTGGTTGAAGCTGAACAGCACCTGTCCGCTCGACCGCAAGAACCTGTTGAAGAAGAAGGAGCCCACACCGCCGCCTCAGGATGAAGAGGAGGAGTACGATGATATGTATGCTTAGGTTTGGTTGTTTGACATGCATTGCGGTGGCGTTTGGGATTGATATCCGGATGTGGTTACCCGAAGTGAACGCATAAAGAAATTGAACGACATGAGAGTTTGCTGCTCCATTGACTCTAAATGCAAGGGTCTTTAGCATTGTGGAAGTTATGTATGGCGTTGAATGATACTCGTGGCTAATTGTATTCTAGCAGCGACTGTGAGGTTAATGGCTGATTGTATTTAGCAAAGGCGACTGTATAAATTCTACACTGTAGAGTTCAAATTGTTCTGGACGCATGGATCGAAATATGCTGAACGATATACGCTGGAAGACCGATATACACTGACACTAATCTGCAGCTCGCCGAGTTCAGGGGAGCCCACATCTCATACAAAGCCGCTCGTCCTCGAGTTGGTCCTACTGCCATCCTCTAATCGGGGACTGTGCGGCGTCTTGCTGGATCAAAATAATTGTACCCAGTTGTTATAGGTAGCTCAAGCTCTCCCAAGTACGGAACTGACCATCAAACTTAGATACAGCTTCAAAGTCCACTGCACTTGTTTGCAACTACTGCTACCCAATCAAACCGTTTCATTATTCTATGAACAAACACTCACAAGATCTACATGACTTACCATTCCCTATCTAAACCGCAAAAGAGCCGGGACACGCAGCCATCCAACTACAACAGATAGGCACCCCACTTCCGCTATCGGTACCAAGGTCATGCACACAAGCCCAGACGCCACCCACATCAGCGCCTACACGGTGCGACCACAACTGCGGCGCTCCTCGGTGCTACGTAACCTCTCGAACCCGCGTACGATGCCTTCTCCACTCGAACACAGCGATCCATTGGAGATGCTCGAGTGGCGACTGGAGCCGCGACCCAGCCTTTGTACATGCGGGGTCGGCAGGGTCTCCTGCGTGCCGATCTAGCGGAGATCTACTGCCGTTTAGGCCAAGCACGCCGTAAATGTATTTATGCTGCTGCTGCTGCTGCTGCTGCTGCCGTGGCTACTTACTGCTGTCGCCGGAAAGCGGAGATTTGTGGTGCAGTTTGGACTTACGGATGAGACAGGCGTTGACGATTACCGCGACATCACTTCGACGCACCTACCCGTATCATGGACAAGAGCGACAAAACCCCCGCCAGCTCTGCAGTCGAGCTCCCCCCAAACGACAATGGCATTGGATCCGTGGAACCCTCGTACGACCCCGTCCTCTCCGCACGCGTCCTGCTCAAGATCGACCTACGGTTGATTCCCCTCCTTTTCGTGACGTACAACCTCAATTTCATGGACAAGACGATCCTGTCGAGTGCGAGCGTTTTCGGGTTGAAAGAATCGACCCACTTGCACGGTAACCAGTACGCATGGGCGTCGTCCATCTTCTACTTTGGCTACCTGTTCTGGGCGTACCCGACGTCGGTGCTCATCCAGCGGCTGCCCATCGGCAAGTACATTGCGGCCAATACGTTCTTCTGGGGTGCCGTGGTGGCTGTTACGGGTGCGTGTTCCAACTTTGGCGGGCTCGCGGCGCTGCGTTTCCTACTGGGCGTGGCTGAGGCGACCATTTCGCCGGCGTTTTTGTACGTCACGTCCATGTGGTATACGCGCACAGAGGTACCGACGCGCGTGGGCATATGGTTTGCGGGGAATTCCATGGGCGGGGCAATTGGCAGCTTCATCGCGTACGGCATCGGACACGTGAGCGGCGGACCGCTGGAGGCGTGGCGGTGGCTGTTCATCGCGCTGGGAGTGGCGACGTTCGTGTGGGGCGTGCCGATGCTGCTGCTGCTGCCAGACGAAATGGCAAAGACGCGGTGGCTGTCGGGCGAGGAGCAGCAGTGCGCGCTGCAGCGGGTGGAGCGAGACGGCACGGGGCGAGAACGGGGCGTGTGGTGCGCGTCGCAGGTGGTCGAGTGCGTGATGGACCCGAAGACGTACTTTTTCTTCGCCATTTCGCTGTTGACGCAGGTGCGCGAGAGCGAGCGGACGTGGTCGCGTGTCGACGTGCAGCTGACGCGCTTCTAGATTCCCAACGGCGGCACCACCAATTTCGCCAACATGGTCATGAAGGGCTTCGGCTTCTCGTCGCTGCAGAGCACCCTCGTCCAGCTGCCCTCCTCTTTCGTCGCCTTTTTCGCCGTCCTCATCACCGGTCGCCTCGCAGGCCACTACCGCAACATCACCACCTACCTCATTGCCGGCACGGTTTTGTTCCCCGTCGTCGGCAGCGCCCTCATTTACACCGGTGTCGCGCGCGGCGTCAAGCTGTTTGGCTTTTACCTGCTCAGCACCGGGCCAGCGGCGCTGTCGCTGGCGCTGAGCCTGGTGGGGGTGAACTACAAGGGCGAGACGAAGAAGATGACCATGACGGCGCTGCTGTTTGTGGCTTACTGCGCGGGCAACATAGCCGGGCCTCACTTTTTCGTCGAATCCGAGGCGCCGCGGTACCAGACGGCGTTCCGGACGATTATGGTCTGCTATGCGCTCGTGGTGCTGATAGCCATGGGGTTGAGGGGGTATTTGGCGTGGGCGAATAGGAGGCGAGCAGCAGGGGAGGAGGGCGAGGAAGGCGACGAGGTGGGCGACGAGGAGCTGACGGACTGGCAGAGCGTGGGGTTCAGGTATAGGATGTGAGGAAAAGGACGCGATGCAGTGCGACGAAGGCTAGCAACGTGGGCTCTTTGTCCGGCGTCACGTGGGCGCGAGTACGCGATCTTGCACCATGATGATGCACGATAGTGATAGATAGTACTCGTAGAGTAGTAGTTCTTGTACGAAGTAGTAGCGCGCTCCTCGCCCTGACCGGTCGCCAGCGGACGATTGGCCGCGCTCGGCTGTGTTGCCTGAGTTGCCTGAGTTGCCCCAGAAAGCGGAGTTAGCGCGCCGCGATCGCCGTCAAGTCGAGCTTCACCACGACGACCAACTTGCTACACCTCGGCCCTTGGAGCCTCCACTCTCTCTCTCTCTCTCTCTGACTCTTCCAACTACACTGTCCCACCTCTCTCTCCTCCCCTTCCCTTTCTTCCCCCCCACAACCTGTCTCGGCCCTGGGTGAGAGAGATAGCTGCTATCCGCCACTCCAGTCATCGCCGTCATTCGCACGAGTCACATGGAGCTTCCACTCGCACCTTGACTCGCTCACGCTCACCTCTCAGTCCACGGCGTGTCTGTCCCTGACGCCTTAGATACCACCACCACCACTTCCTCGAGTCTCTCGCCCGCGTCGTTCCCGCCTCCCCTGCACCGCCATCCTATCACCAACCGCGCGACATGGCTGCCTGAGCACCGCCGTCCCTGCATCCTGGAGCCTACGACTGGCTCCACCCGCAGCGCCTTGGTTGTTTCGTCGTTCAGTAATGGCTTCGCCCGCCATCCGACTCACTGCCCGACCGTAACTGCTGCCTGCCTCGACGTTTCAACCCTACTCGTTCACCCACAATGCACCAACACCCCCGGCCGTCATCGGCCAGGACAACCGGCTCGGCCAACTCTCCGCGCTCCAATCCGCTCCGTCCGACCAGCACAGCTCCGCCCGTCGCGCGCAGCGACGCCGGCTCCGACTACATGGAGAAGGCGAGCGATGGGGGAGAGCCCGACTACGGCGAGACGGACGAGGAGCGGACGATCAGGAAACTGAACCAAGTCATCATGGTACGTGTTCAGCCCATGGCGTGTAGCCCGTGCTGACCGCATTGCAGCAATTCTTCAAGAAGGCGACCCTGACGATCCTGTCGGCGAGGACCACCCTCCCGCAGATCTCCAGCGCCAAGGGGGAGCTTCGCCAAAGCAAATGGGTACGTACCGACCGCGATTCGATGGCTTCAGAAGGTAACAAGTCGCAGTTCAGCCTGGTTCTCAACGAGACCGACATCTACAACGAGGATTTACGCGACTGGACCGCTGCCGATCTCGTCTCCACCGCGCCGCCTCCGCTCTGCGTCGAGATCTACCTCGACCTCAAGGATCTCTCCGACGGCGAGGCCCTGGCCATCATAGACGAGCACGGCAAGCTTTGGGATGTCGCCGAGGCGCTCAATGCCGCTTCTTCGGCGACGCCGCGTCCCGTCAGCCGGTCGGGCCGCACGTCCCAGGTCCTGCTGGAACGCTGGACCATTGAGGTGACCGATAACAAGACGATGGACGCGGAGGGCATCAGGGTCAGCCTCCCCAATGTCTACAAGAATGCCATCGCGCTGTTCAGGAGTTTATATACGTTTACGAGGTTCATGCCCACGTGGAAGTACTACAGGACGTGGGCCAAGCCCTCGACCCACAATCTGCTGCCGCTGAAGTATCGTATCACCAACGGCCTGTTCAAGAGCCCGAGAAGGGACACCTTGGACATGCCGCTGTATCCCGCCGCCGAGTCCGTGGCCCAGTCCCACTCGTTTGATGCCACGAAATCACCCGTTGGCAACTTGAACATCTCGGTGCAGTATCGCAGCAACACCGACTTTCGTGTCGAAGGGTCGGAATCCGTGTTGAGCTCGCACTTTATGGGCATGGACGAGCAGTATTTTTCGCCCTCATTTCCTGAGCGTGTCGTGCCCGGCAGCCTCCCGACGCACAGGAGGTTTCCTTCCGACCAGCAAGACGTGGGTCAGGCTTACGGCAGCTTGTCGACGTTTCACCAGGTCGGCCCTCCGACCGGGACGAGCCCGATTTCAGCCCTTCGCGCCGCCAGAGACATCGTGTCGCATTCGCCCGACGAGTCGCCACCACAGAAGATCCCGCCGAATCATCGCATCGTCACCGGTTCCAAGTCGTCACTCCGCGGCTCAGACAACGCCTCGCCTGTGCCGAGACGCGGCTCAGTTTCTTTTCGTCCGGAGAATCCATTCAAGGCGGGCTCGTTGTCGTCATCGCCCGTCCCTGGCATTCAGGTGCCGCCGTCCCCAGGAACGTCTCTCGGGAGGACTTCGAGTACTGGCGGTCCTGGTCACACCCGGAATCGGAGTTCGCTCAACGCTCTACCTCAAACCGCGCTCAGGACTCCGTCGGGCCACTCGCTGCCCAATGAGACGGCCATTGCTTCTTCGGCCTCGAGCTCGCCCAAGCCCGCCCCCATCTCCAGGTATAGTAGCAGTTTTGGTAACCGGCGGAATAGGTACTCCGGTGGAGGTAGCAAGACGGAAGAGGACAACAGCAGCGGAAAGGGAAGTGCGTCATCATCGGCACAGCCACTCGAGGGCGGCAGCTCTGGTTCGGTGCAGACGGATGAGGAGAACATTTCTGATTTCTTGAAACTCCTCGAATCCAAGAAGGATCTCAAGTCTTTGAACCGCACCGATTCCGCGTCCCGCGATGCCTCGATGAGACGTACCACGGCCGCGCTGTCCAAGTACCAGCGCATGCGAGATTCAAACGCCGCTCTTTCCGACTCGATTTCGTCCTCGCTCCTCCTCCACCGGTCGTCCAGCTCTTCAAGCCGCCAGCTCGGCAACGTTCCAGGCATGATCGGCGGCGCTTCCGTCTCGACGTCGTCAAGTCCTGGAAAACCGATTTCTCCTCATACCCCTCACACACCCGCCATTCCGTCCCGTCTCTCAGCAAACAGCATCATCGACTACGACGAACCTCGTGGAATCAGCTCGCGTGACCGTCACCGCCGACGCGAAGAGCCTCGTGACGACGCAGACAGCGACTCGACGGCCCGTCAGGTGATCCGAGAAGGCACCACCGCCATCGACATCCCGACGAGCCCACGCCCGTGGGCATACGGACATGCCCGCCGCTCCAGCTCGGTGGCGCAACAACAGCGAAACACGCTCGACGAAGAGCCCGACATTTTTGGTCTACGGAGCGCCTCCCTGCCCAACGAGGACCGCGGCGGCGACCTCAGCTTGAGTGAGCTGCTCGTTGCGGGCACGCCGGCCGATGACGCCCCACGTGATACGGCCGGCAGCAGTGCTCCTGACACGGAAGAATCCGCATCCCAGGCCGCGTCCAACGCGCCTCCATCGGCAACCTCGACGCGCCATCCCAGCCTCTCACTGCGCACGCGTACTGAGCCGAATCCTTTTGCGGCGTCGCGTCGCGGCAGCAGCAGATACAGCTTCGTGGCCAGCCGGCCGACGACGGCTACGCTCGACGACGACGAGCCGCTGTTGTTCACGATGAGCGAGCTCGGCACGCAGAATAGCAGGCGCAGCATCGACGGGAGGAGTAGTGCCCAGAGTGATAGGAGGGGTTGAAATGCCCACGTTGAGACTGCACACTACACACAGGCTGCGAGCTGCACATCAAACCGCCACTACACATCGAACTGCACACTACATCAAGACTGCACATCGAGGATTGCACTCCAAAACCTTGCACACATCAAGGGAAACCAGCCCATTGAATAGTAGGGCATCTTTCTTTCGTCTCCAGACTGGACTTTTGCATTTCAGCCGCGTCGACCATCATCGGCCTTGCGATCCAGTCTTGTTTCTTTTTTTTTTATATTTTCCTTTTTCGCGATTACACCAAGACTGCATGACGAGACTCGGAGTTCTATCAAGGCCGACTTTTATTTTCCTGTTTTTTTGGTTATTGTTGCGTTTTTTCGGCGACTACTGCGGGTCTTCTTTTTTTTTATGAGCTAGCTGGGTGTGCGGCGCGTTGGGAGGATCCTGGCTTTCTTGCTTTCTCCGCTCCTGCTTTTGGCTATGCGACGCGGATGTTGATGGGCTTCGCTGGTATGGGGCTTGTTGCTTTTTTGCCTACCTACTCCACTTCTTAGTTTTTTGTGTTTTTTTGACGGCGACTTAACTACTTGGCTCCCTTTTCTCTCTCTCGTGTAGTCGAGAGGGGGCAAAGGGCGCGCACATGACGTTCGAAGATCCGGTACATCAGTTTTTTTCCAGCTTTTCATCAGTTTGGATTTCTTTTGGCTTTTTTTGTTTGTTTGTTTTGGTTTAGCCGATGGCTGTTTTTTGGCCTCTTCTTTTTTTATATCTCTCTATTCTCCATCAGAGCAGAGCGCTGCAGATCACTTTGAATATGATTGTTGGCGGTGGGGTGGTGGCGCACCTCGGCTGCTGGCCTCTCCGCTCTTGATGATGACTTGATGTGGTGGTATTTTGAGTGGTGATGCTACACGGCCAAAGGCCAAAGGGTTTTTATTTTCAAAACGCCATTCACTACATACTAATGTCCGTCACCATGAAGCGAGATTCACAATAACGCGAGATAGTGATATATATACGGAGTAGAAGAGATATAGTTAGGGTGAATAAAGGCTCTATACGGAGGAGAAGAAGAGACCTAGTTAGTATACGTAGAGCCTCTATATACTCTAAGACCTTTTTAGCTATGCCTAGGAATCGGGACAGGAGCTAGGTAGGGAGTACTCTATAGGAACAGCTTATACCGCCCCATGTCTCGCTATACGGTAGATCTCGGGTCGCGGTAACGGAGGTTAATATAGCCTTATCCTATAATTTAAAGGGGAGGCCTGTTATATTAGACGCCGTTGCCGTTATATATATTCTTAGAAGTAGATGTAGTTGAAGTTCGGATGGCTGGTTTTATTGAAGCTGAGGCCTAAAGTGTAGAGTTTGGGTATTGGTAGGGAGAAGTGATATCAAAGCAGGGTATGTAAAATACAACGTGGTTGTCAGTACGGGAGAGCGCTTAGGTGAGCATCTATAGTCCCGTATCATGCCTAAAAGCGAGACGAGGCTTGCAGGCTCACAGCAGCGCGGTCCACGAAGCAGTGCGTGATAGCTGCATCTGTATATTTAGACACAGTGAGCGAAATCCGGGGCGTTGCTTCACTGCCTGCGGGAGTTGAGAAACTCAGACTTGTGGTCTCGGAGATGAACCTTGACGTTTGGAAGTTGAAGTTGGATGCAATGATGTATGTTGTCAACAGCACCGAAAGCGGGTAGATGGAATCGTCTGGTGATTGTGTGGCCATGATGAGGTTGGGATGGGAAGGGTCTTTGACTTCAGAAGATGGTAGTTTCAAGTAATAAGTACTCTGCGTCAACACTGTGGAACATATATCTAACTAACAGAAACCACGTCCCAAAAAGATGAAGCTTTGCGTGGTGAAGATCCAGGCGCGAATCATGCAGCCCCGTAACACCAGCCAGCACGACTCAAGCCACCTCTATCGTCCCAAAACTTTCCGCAGCAGCAACCCTCACAACAACACTCGCACGCCACGATGCCGAAACGCAAGCGCGCCGAAAGCGAGCAGCTCTCCGCCGGCGATGGCGATAGCGATGGCGATGCCACCGCCCCACCCTCCAACCGCGCCTCCGACCGCGTCTCCTCCGACCGCGCCATCGCGAAGCAGCGCGCGCAGCTGCCGCCCAAGATCGAAGCGGGCAAGAAGACGCTGAACAAGGCGCTGAAGCTGGCGCGGGCGTTTGAGCGCCAGAAGATGAGCCGGCGGCGCAAGACGGCGGTGCAGGCGGGGAACGAGAGGGACGTTGCGCGGATCGATGGCGAGATTGAGGCGCTCAAGGTGAGTAGGAAGTGCAAGAGGCTGGTTGGTTGGGACTGCGTTGCAGTGGACTGACGTTTTCGCGCGCTGTGTAGAAGCTCAACTACCACGCCGTCGCCGAGGCGCACCTCTACAGGACGCTGCTCAAGATCAAGACGATAGCGGAGGCGCCGGCACTGCCGCCGTGGGTGCGCCAGCCGCCGAAGCAGGCCGATGCCGCGACCATGAATGTCACGGCGAGGCTGTTCAATGCCAATCCCTCCAAGGAGGCCATGGCCCAGGTTCTGGCGGAGATACGCGGCGTGCTGGGCCTGGAGGACGGCGGGAAGGGGCCGCAGACGAAGAAGTCAAAGTCGAGAGCGGAGACGGACACGAAGCAGCGGGGGAAGAGGGCGGCGGCGCGTGTGGAGGAGGAGGAGGACAGCGACGACATCAGCGGGAGCGAAGAAGAGGACAGAGAAGAAGCTGAGGGCAGCGACAGCGACAGCGGCAGCGAGGACGAGTTCGCAGGCTTCGACGACCGCATCGTCGGCTCCGACGACGACGACGAAGAGTCCGGCTCCGACGCCAACAACGGGCGCGCCCTCGCGCCCAAAGGCTACAAGCCCACGCGCGACATGTCCATCACGCCCGACGGGACACCGTCGCGCTCACCAACCCCCTCCCCGGAGCCGCCCTTCTCGCGACCCGCCAAGCCGGCCAAACCCACCGCGACGACGAAATCGACGTTCATCCCGTCGCTGACGCTGGGCGGGTACGTGTCGGACTCGGACGCGTCCGGGCCGGACGACGACGACGCCGCCATGGCCGAGCAGGTGGCGCCGGCGCGGCGGAACCGGCGGGGCCAGCGCGCGCGGCAGCAGCTGTGGGAGAAGAAGTTTGGGGGCGGGGCGAAGCACTTGGTGAAGCGGGAGCGAGAGGCGGGGTGGGATATGCGGCGGGGGGCGGTGGGGGAGGGAGGCGGGCGAGGCGGGCGAGGTGGGCGGGGAGGAAGAGGGGGGCGCTTTGCTGGTGGTGCTGGTGGGAACAGAGGCGGCCCAGCAGGCACGGATGCGAATGCAGTGGCTGTGGGGCCGGCGCGCAAGAAGGACCATAGAGACGATGCGGGCAAGTTGCATCCGAGCTGGGAGGCGGCGAAGCGGGCCAAGGAGAAGAGCGCGGGCGCGGCGACGTTCCAGGGCAAGAAGGTCGTGTTTGATTGATTGATTGATTGATGAGAGGGCGGGAGAGATATACCTATTTTCGTTGCTGCGTGTATGTACATACGTTGGGTTGAAAGACTACATTACATTGCTCAGACTTTTTGTATTGTCGTGCTATGCAGCAATGACGGCTTCAGCTCTGCGTATGCTGGCTCTGGCATGTGTGTAGTATTTACTATCAATCCTCGTCAATACCAGAAGGTTCATCAACAACGCGTTGGATCGGCCATGTGTGACACTGCAAAAGCTCGAATCAGTCTCCGGGCCAGCGCCCGGTATCCAGGCTTTCGTATTCTTCAAGGCAACCATCGCAATCTCGTTTCTTACGGAGAAGCATGAACGACCTGAAGTACTAGGATATTCAGTTGAGCAAGGACGACTACCACCGGCAGATTGGACCTGGCATTGATTCTCAAAGGGACTAACAAAGTCTGTTACTACACATACAGTCCAATCTGAACAGTCCAATGCTGGATTACCCGGCTGGCCTTTCCGTGGTCATGACTGGCGTTGTCGCGTTCTTGACGGAAGGAGCTGCGGGCGCAGGTGTTTGGCTTTCGCCGGCGTTGGTGGGAGAGGACAGTTCGCTGTCGCTGTCTTCGTGTTTGACAAGGGGAGGCATGGTAGTGGATGGTTGTAGGCGAGTTGGAGGGAGGAACAGGAAAGACGCAAGTATGCGTGCCTGGACCACGCTAACCCAAACGGGAAAGCGCTGTAAACGACTGCAACGAGCTTCTGACGACGACGCGTTTTCCAGCAAATGATTGCAATTCCAGGACCATGCCCGTCTCTGCTAGATAATAGGATAGACGACTCCTGGCACAAGCCTATGCTGCTGAGGACTGAGGGGAAAACGCGCTGCGGAAGTAGCCACTATGTGTTAGAAGGATGGAGACAGTGCTCCTTACACTTTCAGACATGATGCAAGCGAACAAGCGCTCAATGGTGAGTCGACTCGCCTCAAAGACTTAATCGACTTCCCAACGCTGACCCCATTACGAGCACTATCTCCATCCTTCTACCCGCACTGGCTACTTTCGCAGCGCACTGAAAGACTGCATCGAGGCCGATATGGAGTGGGACTTACTTCCGGACGCCGATCTTGACACCTTCGGCCAGGCCCCCGTCTGGATCTACCCGGGGAAGCTGCTCTCCAACAACGACATCTCCGGTCAGACCCTCGTCTGGTTCCACGAGGGGAAGCTTCCCTCTAACACTAGCATCTCCGGCCAGGCTCTAGCCTGGATCTACCCGGGAAGACTCACTCCAACGGCGGCAACCGCGACTTGTGCCGTGTCTGACTCGTCGGCGAGCTGCTCTCGGCCCCGGTCTTGCAGGGTCACGCCACCAAGGAGCAAGCTTCAGAAAAGCCACAATTCTTGTGAATGGCGTTTTGCGTGTTGCGCTTGACAGAGATGTCAAGTGCCTCGTAGAGGACGTCAAAGGGACAAGGTACGACTATTCTTGTCTTACAAATTAAAGGGAAAGTTCTGAAGTTCATCACATACTTCCTCAGAAGCAGATGCAGCTGGAGTTGTAGAGGTTTGTTCTACTGAAGCCAAAGGCCCAAACCAACGAATTTAGGTGAGTATCCATAGTCCCGTGCTGTGCCTGAAGTAGGACGTGAGGCGCGAAGCAATTGCCGAGGCCCGCAGCGCAACCCCGCGTCTTGCCGCCCCGCATTCGCAAGGATCAAGCACTGTCGCACCGCATCTCTGACTTCCCGCGACAACGCAACAACGCCGGCCTACACTGCCGGACAGGCGGCTATGACGACTTCATTCCTCGCCTCGCGCGGCTTTCCTTTTCTTCCTCTCGTTCCTCTTCGTCTCTACTCGCGAAGACACCATCACTCCCACCCCGAACGACATACTGATTGAAAGAACAAACTCACAATGACCGCCGCCATACGCATTGCGCCCTCGCGCGCCGCTCGCGCCGTCAACCTCCTCCGCACCATCCAGTACACCCACCCGCCCAGCTGCCCCTGCCACAGCAATCCCGCGCACCACCACCACTCGTCCTTCTCGCCGCCTTTGACTTCGCAACCTCGCCGCTCTCGTGGTCTCGCCACGCCGACGGACCCCGCTCGCCAGAAGGAGTACGCGTTCGAGCTCGCGGCCAGCAGTATCCGCTTCGGCGCAGGCTGTACGAACGAGGTGGGCATGGACGCGGCGAATCTGGGCGCGCGGCGCGTGATGCTGGTCACGGACGCGGTTGTGGGGAAGCTGGATGGCGTGAAGAGGGTGAAGGAGGCGCTGGAGAGGGAAGGCATTGACTATGAGGTTTATGGGAAGGTGAGGGTTGAGCCCAAGGACAGTTCGTAAGTTTGTCTGGGGATAATTGAGCTTGGAGAAGTCTCCACAACGGCCGCTGACTGGTGACAGAGTCAAGGAAGCTATTGCAGCAGCAAAGCCGTACAATCCGGATCTGTTCATTGCAGTTGGAGGTGGCTCCGTGATTGATACCGCGAAGCTGATGAACTTGTACACATGTTTCCCCGGTGCGTATACCCAGGATTCCAGCAGCAATGCTCAGAATCGTAGCAATAGACCGTCGTTTCTTCCACACTCACTAACAAACCCAGACGCCGACTTCCTCGACTTCGTCAACGCACCCCTCGGTGCCGGCAAACCCATCACGCAAAAACTCAAGCCCCTCATCGCAGTGCCAACCACCGCAGGCACCGGCTCCGAGACGACGGGCACGGCAATCTTCGACCTCGAGTCCAAACGTGCAAAGACAGGCATCGCGCACCGCAACCTGAAGCCGACGCTCGGCCTCTGCGACCCGCTAAACACGCGCACCATGCCCTCGGCCGTGCACGCCTCCTCAGGCCTCGACGTCCTCTGCCACGCCCTCGAGTCCTGGACCGCCCTGCCGTACACGGAGCGCGTGCCCCGGCCCAAAAACCCCATCGAGCGGCCCGCCTACCAAGGCGCCAACCCCATCTCCGACATCTTCTCCCTGCAGGCCCTCCGCAGCACAGTCAAGTTTCTCCCGCGCGCCGTCAAGGACCCCGACGACTTCGAAGCCCAGGAACAGATGCTGCTCGCGGCGACGCTGGCCGGCGTCGGCTTCGGCAACGCCGGCGTCCACCTCTGCCACGGCATGAGCTACCCCATCTCCGGGCAGAATCCCTCGCAGTACCGCCATGCGGGCTACGATGTCCCGACACCCCTGATCCCGCACGGCGTGTCCGTCGCCGTATCCGCGCCCGCGGTATTCCGCTTCACGGGGCCCTCGAATCCGGACCGCCACCTCGCCGCCGCGGAGGCGTTTGGTGTGGACGTCGCGGGCGTGAAGCGCGAGAGCGCGGGCGAGGTGCTGGGGGAGGCGTTGGCGGAGTTTCTGGTCAAACTCGGGGACCAGCCGCGAGGGCTCAAGGCGCTGGGGTTTAAGAGCGGGGACGTGGACGCCTTGGTCGAGGGCACGATTCCTCAGAAGAGGGTGCTGATGCTGGCGCCGAACTTGGAGCTGGAGAGCGCGGATGCCGAGAGGGAGCAGTTGCGGGGGCTGTTTGAGGATGCTATGAGTTACTAGTGGAGGGGAATTGAAACTTGGGATGTTTTCATGCGGGTTCCATCACTTCTTCTTTATTTACGAGCTTGGTTCTTGCATGTTTGTCTACATACAAATTATACCCCCACAAACCCCCTACACGTTCCCC